ATATTTACTGGCCATCAAACACAGCATATGATGAAATTGTTTAATCCAGATCTAAAACTAGTTTCTATCTTTCATTCAATAAACTGAATTTCCTGCAATTTTCGAAAACAACAAGTAGAGATGCAATATAGCTCAAGGCGCATGGCTTCCTCAATCAAGTGATTTGTATAGACTTTAATGATAACAATGCAAGCAACTGTGCATTTATAGACGATGTCAAACGTTTTCATCCAAGTCTAGAATCCTACATCTCCTTTTTCTTGGCAGTGATGTGGATGAAATTTATCGTAACCAATGCAATCACTGAGATTTGTACTGTTGTTGTTGTCAAAAATGTGTTTGAAATCTATGTACACCTCGGTACAAAATAGGTGCCTGTATGCTTCCGGGTCAAATCACGCAATATCTAAGGAGATTTTATGACTAGTGGCTTCAATATGGCTACTACAGTGAACCAAAAATACTTTTGACCAAACTTTTGTAGAAAAGCGCTAGCTTACGAATAAAAGCGGTAGGCGGGAGATGGAGTGAAGAAGTGGTAGACTCCCACCTAAAACGGTTAACATGCATATACATCTTCAATGGATAAAAAAATATTACTTAATATTCTAAAATACACATAGGGGCCCCTTGTTTTTTTTTAAATTCAAAAATGTAATTTTCAACTAAGCTGGCTAAATCTAGAATCATTCAATACATTCAAACATACTATGAAGATATATCCCATCTGATTTGCTCTACATTAAAGCCCCTAAGAGTTACATGTATGCAAGAATATCAAGAGAACTGTTGCACATCATTTAAGAATTTCCTTTTTAAAATAGGTATTAAAGAAATATAAGCACTAGGCCTTTAGAAACAATAAAATATTCATGACAGACTTTTTTATCAGAGGTATGCTATCCACACTTACTTCCTCCTGCTCCTGATTTCACGGCCGTCAAGTGGAGTGTTTTAGGATTCACTGTTACCACATTTGGACCACGACTTGTTCCTGTGGAAATTACCTTCCCACCTTGAGTTGTTATGTTCAAAATCTTTGTCCCAGCTTGTCCTTTAAATGGAAGCAATTATTTTTCTAAATATTTCAATTCAGAACAAAACACCAGACAAATTTTATCTCTAGTTAACTATAAAATTCAACACTATCATATGGCACATGATTTTAACTCATTCTGAATAGGTACACTACTAAATGTACAAGACACATAATAATTTAATTCCGATTATAATACCGATGGAAGTGATGGGTTTGGTGACCATGGTGACGTTTGACGACGTGGAGGACCCAGGACTAACGACGACTACAGGTGTACCAGAGCTGGTAGGGAGCTGAGTAGGCTTAGGTAGAATCTTACTTCCACTGGATCCTGGGAAACTCTGAGTGATAATCTTCATACCTGTAGCATTTCAAAGCTTTTCTTAGACACTTCATATTGATATGGTTAACCCCTTTTTTCATGCTCTTTACATTGTGCAATCTGGCATCGTCTATTCAGACACAAAATGTGTTTCCTAGTGCATGTCAGATTACATGTACACAGGTTTCAGTCTTCAAACTTTGCTATAAATTCTCCCATTTCCCAGGAAAACTATTTCCAAAATTATACTGTAAATTTTTTTTTTGAAAAATAAATAGATTGATTTTTTATTTTCTTACCTCCCTCCTGTCTAATCTGAATTGTGGAGGGGGACTTGCCAACAGGCTTTATCTGAATGTTCTGCATTGACTGGGGAGAGGGTTGTACTGGCTGCGGCCCCATTGGTATCACTACTCCAGGCTTCTGCTGACCCTGGCTCTGTAAACGATGAAATTCTGGGTCAAGTTTTGTTTAATATATACATACATGTACTATACATACAAATCACTGTCAGTTAATCTGAATTAATGCTTTTTGGTAGTAGATCCACACCACTTTTGCATAATGGTTTTAAAAATTCTTACCACAGGAAATCTCTGTCTTGGAACTGTTTTAGGACGAGGTTTCTGAATACTGACAGTTGGAGTCAAGAAGGTCATAGTTGATGTTGTGACAGCTGTGGATGTAGAATCTGAAAGTGATACATCCTGTTATATCATACTAAATTTTTCCTTTATGCAAATATTTTTTTGGTTTTTTTACGTGCAACATATATCAAGAGCACCAAATCGATTATCACTACATGTAAATGACTCTTATGATTTGCCAAACTGGCCACCTGGGGTCTTCAGATTTTATTTTGCTATTCAATGTTTCTGTACTTGTTTATTAATGACGACGAATTAGTAAATTATAGCCAATATTATACACATGTATGAAGTGACAAACAAGTGATCAAATTTAAATCTTCATGATCTCTGTCATCTAATTTCATTCCTTACTTGAAGATGAAGTTGATGATAAAGGAGTTGCCACTGTAACAATGTTTCCAAGATTTCCATTGGATGAAGATCCAGAATTTGGTAAGAGATTAGATTTCTGACTGGCTGTTCCTCCCAAAGAGCTGGTTGTTTTAACCATGGGGACTGTGATTGATTTCTGATGTAAAATGCTGGATGAAGATGCCTGCCCAGAACTGGATACAAGGATTACCTGTAGAGTGATACATGTAAATAGCATTATCACTGATTATAATTTCTCAAACATTTTTCATAAAGAATCAACAAACAAATTCAAGAAAAATGTAGATCCTCACTTTTCTTGTTTTAGTAGGTAAGATGCAATTGTTTACGGCAGATTGTGCATTATATTTTGTAAGGCCTTCATACCAAAAACATTAAATTTTTTGAATAAGAGAATGAGAGGTCAAATGAGATGTTTGTGTGATTACTGACATTCTTTGCAATGCAGGTCACTTTATGATCATATGAAATTCTTCTTTTTGTATCAGCGTCATGACAATTATGCAACAAAAATTTTCCTCTGGTCATTGAAAAAAGAGCCCACCTTTTGTGACTGGCTGGTTGAGGATGTGACTTGAGGGCGTGTCTGGGGACTTTTACTGATGGTGATTTTCACGGGGGACATCCCTGAAGCTGAACTTGCTGTAGTGGAATATGTGACCCTCGGAGTCTGTGTACCAGCTGATGGAGACACAATATTGATAGATTCTGAAGAAGACTGACTTCTTCTTCTCTTCCTGGCAGGCAGTTCTTCCTCGTCCTCTGTGTTCAATCCACCTACAAGATTTTGTGAATGTTACTTCTTTGAAAATGAAATTTTTACAGATAGAAAATTAAGTTTTTGACAGTCGTAAGAAAATTAGAATACCTTTGATGTGAATAGACATTCCACTTGGCAATACCACTACATTAGAGTTAGGGCTGGATGGTCTTGTTACCTTGGTGACAGTACCACTAACAGGGGTCGGTGGACTAGAAGAGGTGCTGCTCACTACAATTTTAAAGATGTTTTTATTCAAATCATCAAATAAATAAGTGGAAATACTGTAATTTAGTACATTGTTTATTCCTCACAGTCTTTACTGCCTGTTCTAGATGGACTTGGCATAGCTGCATTTTTCTCTGCTTGTAGATTAGCCATCTGGTTGGCAGTTACTGTGAAGGCTGTTTGAGGGACAAGACGAGGCATCAGAGGGATTAGTCTCCTCCCCTCAATCATCCACTCCGCATCTGTGCTAGGTCCACACATGCTTTAAAATTAAATAAAGTCTTAAAACAATTCTCACAAACCTTTTTTTTTCCGAGACCGTAACACTAGGGCGAGAATAACAACAGGCAAAATTGTTGTAACAATCACCCAAGTCTGATTACCTTTCTGGAAAATAAATTTGGATGAATGACGTCCCTTTCAGAAGCTACTATTTGCTTAAATACAACAATTTCAGCTATTTTGTTGAGTATATTGAGGCTTAAAGTCAAGCTTAGAAATTCTAGTTTTCTTGTTCATGAAAAATACATGTAAAGTAGCCAATTGTGAATAAAATTTTTAAAACATACTGATCAGCAATGGTAGCTAATTTTTCATCATTAACAGCCCTTCTGACTTCTGCTCTGTGTCTCTCTGTTGAGATACTACAATTTTAAAAATAAGTAAAAGAGTAAAAACAGTCCTGCTCAAAAGATCTTAAAAACAGTCTTGCTTAAAAGATCTTTTTAATTCTCTCCAGTTCTATGATGCAATGTCGTACTTTACCTTAGAGTAGACTGCAGATCCTGAAGAATTTTTTTCTTATCTTTTGTGAGATCACCTTGAGCTCTAAAAGCAGATACAATTGAACTGTATGCCTCTAGCTCCATTCTCCTCAATATTCGCTTGCATTCTTCTTTGCTAATATCCAAAAGCATTGGCCACATGGTGCTTTGAATAGAATATACATATTTGGAACCTGTTTATTTTTAGTCACTATGCATAAAATATAGTAAATTATCTAAGTATAAAAAAAGTGATCCACAAATTGTATAGTCTGTTTTATTCATATATTTGTATATAAAATTGTCTTAATAACATTACTCAACTTTTCAATACATGACAAAGGTGTATGTCTACTGTTAAGGCACTGATCTAAATAGATCATACACAAATATGCATTTTATATCGAAAATCACCTTACCATTTACCTTATTACTCATTTAATTCTTGTCTTGTGTTTGTTTAATATAGCCCAAAAAGTTATAAATTAAAATTGAAATCATATGCGCTCTGAAAATAAATAAAATAGTTTTAATTAACACTCCACAAGGTGAAAAAATATACTCACTAATTTTCTGAGGTGCTTTTGTCCACCATGTTGTAAAGGCGGTACGCTAATACGCATGTGCGAATAAAAATAACCGATAAATTAGACTAATGTATTTATTTTTTTTCTGGTTAAAGTTTCACTAATCATACAGTAAGTCTTAAACCATTTTTTTTCTAATTTTACTTCAAAATTATATAATGTAGATAGGTTGTTTATCTTTTTTTCAAATCCCTCGAAGAATATTTTGTTTTGCCTTCGTTTTATCATATAGCTCCATGAATTTATCGACTAGATTCCATAAAAAGTACGCATGCGTCCTTAAATGTTTAAACATGGACGTCAAAGTAGGCAAGTGAAACCTTCTGCAGGTGCACATTTATCCTTTTCAAGTAGGTGCATCAATTACAAGTTGTATTTTGCATGCCAATTAATATTGTGAAATATATAAAAACATTAAAGTTAGAAATAACCGTCCCATGTGCAATATATATCCATCTTATTCCACTTGTATTTGTAACTTGAATTTCCTCAGTGATGCATCAACATTTTAACCACACCTTTTAGCTCACCTGAGCCGAAGGCTCAAGTGAGTTTTTCTGATAAAAATTTGTTGTCGTAAACTTTTCATATTTTCATCTTCTCAAGAACCACTGGGCCAATTTCAACCAAACTTGCCATAAATATCCTTGGGTGAAGGGGATTCAAGTTTGTTCAATGAAGGGCTGTGCCCTCCTCCAAGGGGTGATAATTATGAATTAGTGAGAAATTAATTGACGATTTAAAATCTTCTTTTGAAAAAGCCAGAAAAGTTAAAACTTATGTGTAAGCATCCACAGGTAGTGTAGATTCAAATGTGTTCAATTTATGACCCCTGGGGAAGGGTGGGGCCACAATGGTTGATCAAAGTTTTACATAGGAATACATAAGAAAAATCTTTAAAATTCTTCTCAAGAACCACTGGGCTAGGTAAAATCTAAATCTCCCAAAATAATTATAAAAAAGAGGACACTCTTGGTTTAATATAATTTATTTATGTGTAAGACCTATATAGTTTTAATAATAAATTCATAAGTTTTCCGCATGTGGTGTAGATTCAAGTGTGTTTACATCATTACCCCGGAAGGGGGGGGGGGCACAATGGCCTATCAAAGTTTTACATTTACAAGTTTTTGGGTAGCAAAGAAATATCCCTGTAATTGCATTGAGGAAAACATTGAAATTTCCACTATTTAGGCTTGGAATAGCTCACTTTCAACCTGAAAATTTTAAGTTCAATATGGTACAAGTAATTAATTGTACTTTAATGTAAGAAATAAATATAATACATGTACTTTACAGTCAGTATTTACTGACTTTATAAGGAGTTGTAATATTTACTAATAAGATCTTTGATAAGGCACTTGCAAGCAATTTATTATTTTGTCTTGATAATCCAGTTTCTAGACTAGTGCATGTTTTGTTTGACATTTTACAGAATGGGAGATGGAATTGAAGTAAAGAGATGTGGAGTGAAATTTTCCCCTCCAGCTTTAGTATTAAACTACCTCATCAAATCCTCAGGCAAGATGCACCGTAGAACAATGCCTCTTCGGAATTTCAATAAGAATTCTAGTGTGGATGCCACTGTAGATGAGTTATTGACAAATCCAAGACATGCTAAGTTTGTGAAATGCATGCCCAAGTTTCAGCTCTACAGACTCGTGGCCATTATCAGGGACAAACTAAGTGGAATGTCACTAGAAGAGAGTTTAGCAAAGAATGATGAGATTGACAAGCTAGATCCAGAGGAAGATCTAAATAAAGTGGATGATGAAACACTCAGAAGGAAGAAGTCTTTAATGGATGACACTTTTGAAAAGCATGTGAAGAAGCCAGGTGATCCGGACTTTCAGTATGATGTACAGGTGGATTTTGATGAAGTGGAGGCTTGTGAGTGGGATTCAGAAGAGTCTGATCAGGAGTTCTAGGATTGGGAGTCATAGGATTAGGATTGATTTCTCATTATAAACTACTATGATCAGAGTATCTTAGTCTAAAAATAGAAGGATATATTCAGGCCTAGTGTTTATATTTGGATTTTTTTGGTAACTATACAGTTTCAGATTGATATTAAAATATAATGTGTTTACTTATAATCAGCTGGTACACAAAGAAAATTTCTTTTTCATAATCATGAGAATATTTATAGCTTTAATCAAAGAGTAAACAATCTTAATTGATGGGTTACATGTAGCAAGAATTGAAAAATGAAAATGGGAGGGGGGATCTATAGGGTTTTTCTGTCTTTGACAATAATAACCATATCAACAAAAGTTATAAAAAAAAAAAAAGACAAGATGGTGCTTTATACAGGTATTAGGTAGTTGTTTATGCTTTTATAGATATTAAAGGAGTAGATGTAAAATTAATATATTACAGTTATTACCTTTATACCACAATGTATTCAGTGTATCCAATAGGTGTTCCTTTTGATTAGTGCTGAATAACTCCTAATTTGAATGTGATAATATGAACGTTTATACCTTTTATAAAGTGTGAATATTGTTATTGTTTAACTTGTACATCGAGAAATAATGATACAGTGTTAATTTTATTTTTTTTTAAAATACTAACCTTTAAGTCAACCTGTTTAAAATGAATCTCAAGCACAGGCCTCTTACAATTACGAGTTTTGATTTACTCCCATAGAGCCATCTTTATCATTTAAAAATACGTTTATTTAAACTACACAATGTCATTTTTTGCCTCATAAAGTTCAGTTATTGTTGAACGATCTCGAACAGATTTTTGTCACTCATTACAAATGGTACATCATGATATATATGTAAAGCAAGGAAAATGTGATAGATTCTACTCAAAAAGAATTCATTTTATGTTTAAATAATATATATTATTTATATACAACAACTATTATGTCGCATAAAACTGTGTGTCATATTATCTTCTTGTTCTTTATTAACAGATTCTTGGAGCTCTGTTGACTGAATGTTCAATGTTTTGACTTCTGACAAACAAAATCACAGATTTCTAACTTAACATGGTTTATGGCTTATGCTTCCATACAAACATATATTAAGGGGGCCGACTATTGTTTTATTTTGTAAAAACTACAATAGCGAAACTCTTCATTTTTATACCATATATAACTTACATTAACTTCAGTGTACATGCAAAGTTTTGGGGAAAATCTACCGTCCAGGTATTTTTAAGGGACCGTCTCAAAATTTTAGCACTTTAAAGCAAATTATACAAATACTACAATAGACATTTTGTTCAAACTATAATATTTTATGAGTAATACTATATGATACAATATATGTAAGAAACACAAAATTCTACCGTCTTGTTAAGAGAGGGGGGCATCTCAAAATGCAAAAAAATTAGCAAATTTTACTATTCTTATAGAGTACTACAAAATATAACGTAAACAATGGATTCACAAGAAAACATAATAAACAGATTGGAGATATTCTAAAATTTCTATGTTTTGAATTTCAAGGGCGTATGTTTATTACTTTTTCTGTAATGATATTGTTATTACCCCTTTCTTTAAGAGCTTCACATTACCATAACGTCAAAAACACACTGCAGCGACGTCAACCTACCTATCAATTGCAAAATCGGTTAAAAAATCAGTTATATCAAATTTTAATTACATTTTTATATCTTTAATTTCTTAATTTTGTTTCATTTTAATAATTAAGCGAAAAAAAAGTTGCATTAAACCAGTAAATACGCTTCATTTTACTATGATGCGCGAAATATTGCGCAATGGAAACTATAGTCGGCCCCCTTAAAACAAGATGTATTTGTGAAACAGTTATGTCCCTGTGTGGCTAAGGTTTCCCAAATGCAAGTCATACTTTAAAGTCAAGGTCAAGAGATGCAAAATATTGTTACCCAAAGAAAGGAATATACACTGTATTGCTATAAATTTGAAAGCCCAAGAACCAGCCATTTAAAATTATGGCCAAGGCTAAAGCTTTTTGAATTTGGGTCAAAATCCAAGGTCAAGGAGTCAATTTTAAAGCCCTAGCACCAACTGTTCAAAAGTTAGCCGAGGTTAAATTTTTCAAAAGTAGACCAAACTAGCTCCAAAGTCAGGTCAGAAGGTCATTGGTTGATATGAAAGAATTTTTGGCAGACCGAAACGTCAAGGTCAGAGGGTCAACTCGTTGGTTTCAAAAGAAATGTCATGTCACAAGGTAAGTGGGTTAAACAAACAAATTGACACGATAACTTTCTATAGATATAAATGTTTTTGAACTTTTGACTTTGACTTTTACCCTTAAAAAAATGACCCTGACAACATATCTTTTGAACGGTAACGGGTTCTTCGCCCGTTCTACCTTATGGCCAAGGGAATTTTTTCGCGCAGGGTCCGTTCGCCCAAAAATTTCTTCGCCCAAAATCCTGTTCGCCTTATAAAAGTTTCGCCCAATACTTATATATATATATTATATATGTTGTCAGGGTCATTTTTTTAAGGGTAAAAGTCAAAGTCAAAAGTTCAAAAACATTTATATCTATAGAAAGTTCATCATGTCAATTTGTTTGGTACTCAAACAAAAGCCTTGTCACAAGGAATACACAGTCATGTGAAATATAAAAGCCATTGCTCCAACCAGTCGAAAGTTATGGGAAAGGTTATTATAGTTTTTGCAGACAAACAGACAGACAAAAGGGCAGACAGGGTAAAACTAAATACCTCCAAACCTTCTATCAAAATGATGAAGGGGGGCATAAAAATGCGTTTGCGTTTTTTTTCCCAGACGTTCAACTATTTGTTCCAGGCGAGCTAAAATGAGAATTACATCGGGTTTGGAATACAATATATATCGAATGAAAACAACTTGATTGATTGTCGGAGTAGACAGTAGTGAGTGTACAGTGTGCCATATGATTTGATAAATATGCCTTGGTGCGGTGAAGCTGACTCTTTCGTCAATCCTGTTGTGAAGTATATTCTTTTCTTCTTCAACTTCCTGTGTTGGGTTTGTATTTTTACCGTAACTTCTCTCCACACCTGCACAAAGACTGTAACAATAAACAAACTTTCTGTTCGTTATTTAAAAACAGCTGATTAAAGTCCGTAGCTGGTCTGATTAAGCCAGTGGCAATGTTTTTGAAATTATGGACAAAATTAGTGGGCATTTCACAATATAAATAGAAATAATTTTTTGTCTTATGATCATCCATACTGATTCAAGATATTTTTAAAGGAATTTCCCTCTTTTTGTTTAATATGGAAAACAGAATAATTTTCATGATGTGGTCAATCGATGATAATTTGCATAAATGCCAAATGAGGCAAGCCAATTAATCGATTAATCATCGTCATGAAATTGAAAAATCTGACAGTTATTCCTTATATTTACATGGTGTTGATTCCGTGAATCAAGCACCGCTTTTTTCTTGCTTCTATTTGTCCTGCCCTGCCGTTATTTTTTTTTAACCGCGCATATAAATGAACCAGTACATTGATGGAAAAATAAAGTACATTAACTGTTTGTAATTTTATCTGGAACAAGGACATTGAAAATGTAAATATGTATAAATAAAATTAGTCACTAATCAGTTATGTAATATACAAATATTAGCTGGGGCAACATTTTTGAAGAAGTTTGCTCATTACATCACAAATATAATATTTTTATCCATATGCTATGAAAAACTGCTGAATCATGCCGGATATAGTTATATTTCACCAGAAAGAGTTATATTTTCCTCATGAACACAGTTATGTTCCCTCGCGTGCAATCTGTCTGTATATTAAATTCGTCAGGTTCGAAATTCACAGAGGCAGTTGCTAAGCAAACGTAAACAGTTCCGCGAAAATTAAAAAGTCAGGACAACGTCTGCAATTTGTTAATTTGAATTCAGAGGAGTTGTATAATTTAATTGAGAAGAAAAATCCTTAAATATAACAAAGGTTACCAACACAAGTGTCAGCATACTGAAAAGATTCTGTCATGAAATAGGACGGGATATTTCGGAATTATACTCAACATACATGTGTACATAGTGTACAATAAATATGTTCGATGATCGATTAGGGTTCATTGTTTAAAAATGTTATACACTGTATACCTTATATTACATGGCTTATTCTAGCAATACACATTGCTTTCATTAGTGTTATATAAAGGGAAACATTTGCAAGTGTAAATGTATGTTGGCCACAGAGTGGAGGGAAATATTTTTATCCTGAGGAGGCTAACATATGCAATGTTGCCTGGAAACACAGCCAATAATTATTTTGATATATGAACAACAAATTATTATTAAAATAGCTAGTATTTTAAATAAATTATTTTTATCTAGAGTATAGACCGAGTGCTTGCAAATCTTGCTTTGAATTGTGTTACAGTGTTTGGTTTTCTACACTTTTTGTATCTATTAAATACTGGAGAACCTAAAGTGAGTGATTGATTGATCAATGACATGATTGTAATATAAGCTGTTGTTTTAGATGGGGTACAAAATGGGTAAGGGTTTAAAATGTTATTAAATGAATCGTTAAATAACAAAAATGAAAGATTTTGAAATAAATAACAGATTAACATGATTAAGTTTGTGAGGATAAAATGTGTGTCCTATTTAACCCACATCACTCCTTGAAAGAAAAAAATGCCATCCCAATTATACACTGAGATTTTATGTAAAGGAATTTTGAGTATGTAAGTGGTAAATCTTATGGGTTTCCGAACAACATTTTTTTTCAAGGAAGTGTAAATTTTGAGTTTTTGCCAAAATAAAATACCTTGAATGATAGCACAGTTGATTAACAATTTATATCAACCCATTACAGGTAAAACCAGTTAATTTTTGTGTGAAAATATATACATTTCAATGATTTGTTCATCTGAGCTTAGGTGAACTCAGCTGGAATGTAATTAAAACAGCCAGGATTTTCCGATTGCTGTATGTATTAATCTAGAGAGACATTATACTTACCTAAGGCAAAGGTGTGAATACACCAAAAGATGAATGTAAAACATTTGTCGTGCGTAAAAAAATAAATACCAGAGTCTATGTTGGACTAATGGCATTTTCAATTCTTAATTGAAACAAGTTTTAATCAAAGTACCAAACACTGTCTATGAGAATTCAACTATAAAAGAATGCACACTACACATGTAGCAAACAAAATTAGGAGTCTTGGAAAAATTAGTTAGTATTCTAAGTAACACTTGCATGTTATTTTGACAATTGATTTTGTCTTGAAATTGAAAATTTATTGATTAGCAGAATATTTCAATTTCAAATGGTGTCTGTTATTAGCCTTCATGGAAAAAAAAAATTGAGGCCATTCCAAGTTTTCCTCTTTAATGTCCACCCATCTTTCAAAAACCTTTGTCTACCTATTCACAAAAAAACCACACACAAGCAAAAGAATTAAAACATGGACTTTATTGTGCGCAGTGATTCTAGAAATTTTACAAAATTAGGATAAAATTGATCAAGGTGTTGTAATGACAGGAGATAGTTTTTAAAACAAATATTCAAGACTTTGATTGTATGTATTTTTATTCACAGATATAAGTAACTTGTAAGAACATTCACAAATTCTACATTGTCCCTATTGCATCAGCTCATTGTAATGTTTCAGCTGTTTGGAGGTGTCCTTATAGGAGTGGGTATTTGGGCCTACATAGAAAAGCACAAATACTATAACAAGGAGATACAGTCAGTGTACGATCTCATCTTTGATCTTGCCATCATCTTCATGGTCATTGGAGCCGTCATCTTTATTCTGGGATATGCAGGGTGTATCGGTGCTCTCAGGGAAAACATCTACCTCTTGAAGTTCGTAAGTACTTTAGTGAAATTAAAGGTACTTGGACACAGATTTGAAGTTATTATTTTCTCTATAATATTACGACTTATATATTTTAATAGCATTTCTCACAAAAATTAATTAAAAATCTTATTTCGTT